ACCTAACCTTCGTGATATATTAGTACGATCTAAATTCATGAGGCAAACTAACTCTTGCGACAACCGTAATTTGGGTAGTCATTTTTGTGGTTCATCATGCAAAACATGCTCCTTGCTTGATTCTACACAATCATTCAAGAGCAACCAAACAAACCACATATTTTGTATAAGGCAATCAATTAATTGCCTCACCAAAAATGTCATTTATCTCATATATTGTAATATTTGTGGTAAACAATGTGTCGAATATATATATACATTACATATACATATATATAGATATATATACATTACATATACATATATATATATATATATATATATATATTTGTTGGAGGCTGGGGCCACGGGTACCCCAAGTGGGATCAAGGAGCAGATCCCTGGTTCCCCCTCAACCATCTCCGGAAGCTACGGCTTTTAACGGCCTTTTTAGAGGACTAATTTATTCAACATCTAACACATATAGATGGGCGGTCTATCTACTCAACCCCACTATCGTTTTATGAAATTTCTGATTATGCTAACTCTGGACCGCCGGAAATGGCAGAATTTTCTTTTTGCCCCTCAATTTTTTAAATAGGGGATGGGGCCAGGTTTCTTCTTACATCCACCACTGGTTTATTATATATGAAATGACTATAAATTAATTAAAAACAGAGGAAACAGAATAATTAAGGGATATTAAATGGTAAATAAATATAGCACATTTAAAAAAAATCAAAGGAAACAAATGCATAATAACAATTAAAAATGAAGAATGAAAAAAAAATGTATTCATTTTCACTCTTGTAGATTTCAATGGCAAAGGTTTTCATATTTGTTTAGTAGGCCTATTTGATGACTCAATATTCTTTATAAGGTGTTGGATTTATTAAGTGCACTTGTGCGTCTTGTGTATTTTATTTGTTTTCGAATAGGTTAGACAGATGGGAAATATTCTTGAAACCATTTCTGGAGATTAGCAATTGTAATGAGACATCAGGGAATATCATAATGCGTCTGCATATAGAGTATATTTATATATAAAGGTTGGTTCTTTGATTAGGCAAACGCTTACTATATAGTAATAATTCGATTGTCAATATTTTAGAAAAAAAAAATCTCGTCTTCTCCCGATAGCTTCTTTTTGGGATCGCCTCTTCTCTCTTTTTGTATTCTGGTTTATTTATTTACAAAGAACTTATGCTGATTTACGTCAAATTTAATAAATATATTATTTAATATCTTGGCTCAATTAAAATTACAATAGGCCTACATTTTAGAAATTTTGCATAATAGATAAAAAAAAGTCCTATATTAGAATAATGAAATTATTAAATTTGTTATTATAATGTTGCACGTCGATTTACTTACAATTGAATTATTATTTATACAATTAAATCCTATTAAAATGACATCGCAATACAAAATTTAATTGACATTAACAAAACCGTTTACTGCAAAAATCTAAAATCTCGTACGACTTGATATCTTGTACGTACCGCTATTTGGTAAATATGCCTACATAGGCCAAACAATAATCTTCACAAGGCACTCATCCTGTGACGTGCTAGGATATGTTTCACGATGTGGCAGCACCTTTCACAGGTGCCAAGGGGACTAAGCTACTAAGGGGCACTCACTGTCATAAATTTCTCCATAGAGGCCTACATCTGATATGTCTAGTAAAATGCATAAATACTGTTTTACATTCTCATTGTTCTCCGTTTAGGGATAAAATCGAATCGAATACTGAAGGGGTTAAGTTGTCGTCATCATGACAGTAAGTGGGAGCGACAGAAGCAGCAGCAGTCATACGGAGATAAGACTAAAATTTATTATGCGTCTTGACAGGGGCAGAGCGAAGCAAAATTCAGTTCGCAGTAGCAGTGTCCACCTTAGGAACCCTTGTTATCAAGGCGAAAGCACAGGCGATAAGTTGCAAGTCCGAACCTGCGCGCCAGCAGGGGCGGATCCAGAGCTACGGATGGAGAGGGGCGGATCCAGAGATATCCGAAAAGGGCCGATCGAGATAACGCCATCATATATATATATATATAAATCAAAGAAATGTAAACACCGTACAGTGTGCCTCTGGCGGGACTCGAACCTGCGACCTCTCGCTGCCAAGGCGAGCGTTATAACCATTAGACCACGGAGGCTTCATGGTTGAACAGGTTCAAATACCACCAGATACACTCCATTACACAATAGGTACGGCTAGAATCAAATAGTTTCATACAAAATAAATCAAGATAGCTGTTAACACTTAACCACCATTTGCCAAACCAGGTACTAAGCTGTTACAACTTCCAAATCAGTCTAGTGGGGACTAGCAAAGAAGCGCTAATAGGACCCAGGGAGGCTAATCTGCTAGCCTCTAGAACTGAGAAATGGGCCTCTTCAAGCATTTTAGATGTACTGTAGTCACAGCTATTTAAGCTTTTTACATGTAGTCTCAGCTATTTTTTAGTTTTCAACCGATCACTAGCAAGTCTCACACACAAGAACATATAAGTATTTACTGTTTTGGGATTTCTGCAGATATTATTCTCCTGAAAACGATTGGAGCAACTCAATCGAAACTTCGAGATATTCTCAACCAACAACAACAGTTTTTTTCAGAACTACTGTATCTGTCTCTTATACACATCTAGATGTGTATAAGAGACAGTATATATATACCATGAAAATGTGACATGGACCAAAAAAATAAAGTTATGCAAAATCAGAGGCGAAAACCGAAATGATGCAACTAATTTTTTGTGTGACAAAAGTTGTAACAATAATATCGATTCAGTCAAGCTACAGGGGCATCTGTATATTTGCATGGGACCATGTAAAGTAAGTGACTAAAAACGGTTGTTTTTATTCCTGTGTCTCAAGTTAAATGTTGTGAAATTTGCCAGTATTTTTTTCCTCCTCCTAGTTTCACTATATATATTGGAGAATATAGCAAAAAAAATCTTTTATTATCTAGAAAAAAAAAATCTAGATTTGGCGCATCGGTTGTGGCTTGGACTCCCAACCTCGAGGTCGAGGGTTCGAAACTCTGGCTGTGCAAACCGTTTGTGTCCTTGGGCAAGGCACTTTATCTACGGTTTCCTCACTCCACCCAGGAGTACAAGTGGGAACACAACTGCGCTGATTACTAGCTGCAATATTACGGAATTCTCCCCAGGGAGCTGAGTATGTGTTCCATACGTGTTTGATCTAATGACCGGGGTAGTAATGTAAAGCGCTTATAGGCTTTATGCATTAAGCGCTATATAACGTAACGTAAGGCCCTGTCCAGACTATCAAATTTTATTTGACAAAAACATGTGACATGCCTAAATATGGTGATGATGACATCACATCACATCATATATAGGCACATCATGACTAAATATGGGCATACAACAGTTTTTCGTCAAAGAAAAGTTGATAGTGTGGACAGTGCTTAAGTTATCATGTAACGTAAGGTAACGTAAGTTACCGACAAACATGTTGTTGACTACGGTATAAATTGGTACAAAGTTGGAAGCTTAGGTATGCACCAAAGATAGAATATACCGCTTGTTCTTAAATGAAAGAATTAACTTCTGTCTAGCAATCTTCTACAGTAGGCTACTAGCAGGCATATTGCTTTTCAAAATATTGACCATAAAAAGTACGGTAGTGATGAAGGTTACACTTGAGGTTTTAACTAGTTTTTAGGGATCCTGATTCATGACATGAATACTATGCAATATGTCCCGTTGACCAGTGACTTTTCTATGAAAAGGCCCAGATGAGGGCGAGGTTGGCAAAATGTGAAATCAAGGAAATGAATTGTTCTGGAATGTATTGAATGAAATGTTGGTATTGAAGAATGATAATGTACACCTGAAACTGAATAGGCCTAACAGTTGATTTTTATTTTTAATTAAATATTTTTCAGCGGGGAGGGAAAGTAATATTGCATACTGCTGTATTAGGTGAAAGAAATAAAATGGGAGTGTTAGTATGAACATAACATCAAAGTAGGAGATCGGTGGTACTGAAGCCCGTACTGAAGGCCTAAAATATATTTGGGAATTACTATTATGTTGGGGACGTCTTCATTTTTGCTGTGGTCCAACGCAATGACTACCAAATTTATAGAATATAGTGTGGTTACTTTGAAAGTGGCACCCATTAAATATATTAAAAGTCTTTCAAGTGCAAGAAAATGAAAAAGGATAATATTTTCAGTAAAATACTTAAAGCATGACTGGAAATTTGAGGATACCAACGTATTGCCAATATTAATAAATAGTTTCCAGCATTTTAATGAAATTTCACATTGTTGAAGTGTTCTTTAAATTTATGTGAACTATTGTGTACTGCAGTTTTTGAAATAAGTTTGCAGATTGAATGTGAATAATAGTAATACTATTGTAGTTAAACTATACCTCATGCAGGTATGACGATATAACTAATCACTTTAAATGTAATGAAAATTCTATCTGATTTGAAATAAATTGTTGAATAAATCTAATTTCTATGGTATTTACACATAACGCTATATACCTACATGTAGAATAGCAATTAATTTTTTTTTATAAATATAATTAAAGTGACGCTGATAATAAAGTCCAAAGGCCTATAGTCAATTTTGTTGGTCTTTTTTTTTAAATAGAGACATATGGTAACGTAAGTTACCGTAACATTTTGACGTTTGACCTATTAATCGTAATCCGTTTGAATTGACAAATAAGATGCTGATACACTTCTATACTGGTAACAGCACCAGTCATCAATCATCTGATCAAAATCCCCCTAATCAGGTTTGGTGACGGCACCATGAATGGTGA